GTGTGTGAGTGTGTGAGTGTGTGAGTGTGTGAGTGTGTGAGTGTGTGAGTGTGTGAGTGTGTGAGTGTGTGAGTGTGTGAGTGTGTGAGTGAGTGAGTGAGTGAGTGAGTGAGTGATGTAGGGATTCCCAAACTTTTTGTCAGTCAAACCAATTTGACATAAAATATTTACTTTAAGTCCCCCTATAAACAAGTTATGTCAATAGTAATCTAAAAGTAATCCAAAAGTAGTCGCAATACATTACCTATAATGGATCTTAATTACATCACTGACTACAATTTTCAACATGTAATTTGTCATCAGTAACAGACTACAATTTGTTACTAAAATGTTAGTAATCTCCCGAGCACTGAACGTAAGCTTGCAGGAGCAGGTGTAAGTGCACTAAATGATTGGAGAAATCCTGCATAAATCACCAGAAGATGCAGTTACCACATTTTGATTAATCATTACAAAGTCAAAAAAAGAAATAAAAAAATGAAACACCTGATTTTGATGATAAGATCTATAACATGCATTTAGAAAATTGATAGTGTGAGTTTTCATTCCATGCCGGCTTTAATTTAGACTTTAAACGGGTATTAAAAAGACAAATCAATAGTACTTGAATACAGTCATTAAAACTCAAGTTAAAGGGATAAATCATCCAAAAATGAACTTTTACTCACCCTCAAGTTGTTACAAACCTGTATGAGTATATTTTTTTTTTAAAAAGGTGATATTTTGAAGAGTGTTTGTAACCAAATAGTTGCTGGTAGCCATTGACTTCCATTGGGTTTTTTCTTCTTCTTCATAATATAGAAGTCAAAGGCTACCAGAAACGGTCTGGTTTTCAACATTCTACAAAATATCATCTTACGTTCAATAGAAGGGAGAAACTTGAGGCTGAGTAAAAGATGACAGAATTTAGTGCTGGGCGGTATACCGGTTCATACCGAATACCGGTGTTAATTTTTGTTATGATATGAATTTTTAAAATACCTCAATATGTTGCTTAAACTGTCGCACTGTTTGAAAGGGGTCCCTTTTCACTGTTGCACTGTGGTGAGGGAACAGCTGTATGTGCTACTAAGCGTGAAAGTTCAGAAACTGAAGCTGTAGAACTAATAGAACGTGATCTCATCCACAATATCCACACTGACCGCTACAAATATCCAGCGCCCCCTGCCATCAGCTCCCGCGTCTCTCACACACGAGCGCGACTTTAGCACTAGATTTAGCAACTTTCAGACCCTTTAGTGACTTTTTTTCCATAGAATATTCATACTGACAAACCTAGCGACTTTATCTGGATAAACCTTAGCTATGGTTTAGTTGGAGGATTTCTCCAGTGCTGTCCCGCGAGCGCGAGGTCTGACTTTCCCGGAGAAGTGTCACCTCTCTCGGCGTCTGTTCTGTGCAGTGAGCGGCAGAGAAGCA